ACATGCTAACATTCTCCATTTCTCATCGACAAAAGTTCATCGACGTTTTCTTTGCTCGACCAGCCTGCAAGTCTATGGGTGCCAGTGGTACTCGCTGCTGATCGCTCACGACTGGGGTCTCGACTCGACATTGGGCGCTATTGCGCCTATTTTTTTTTTTTATTTTTTTTTTTTTCTGGTTTGCCCTTGTTCGCTGTCGCTTTTTGGTACCTTGCGGGTCGTATCCAACCGACACAGATAAAGGCACAATCAGTTTTCTGCTTGCTCATTCATCCCCTCCCCCACACACGGGACCTCCCTCGCTCCCGACTCAAGAGGGCAGCCGGACCATAAAAAGAGCCTAGAGCCCATGAGGAAAAAACTGCCCAGTCCCACCGTTCCGACACCCACCGCCAAAAAAGCCGACCACAATATTCTGAGCAGAGTACAGTCCAACTTCCCCCTCTCCCGCCCCTGCGCGGCATCCTTCCCGTACATGTCGACAGGCTGTCTTGACGTCGACACGCCTCGTCCGGGGAATAATTAGACGCACCCATACTCCCTCTGAGCCCATCATGTCTTCAAGCTCAAGGAGTCGCTCCCGTATAGCGCACGTCGAGGACGCGGAAGAGGACTCTGGAAGCTCCATCAATGGCATCGAAGGCACTCGCAAATATGCCGTGTCAGAGGCGTATATGAGCCCGATCAAGATACAGCCCAATTCAGGCAAATCGCGCTCCGATAAACGACTAGTCAATTCGAGATCATCATCTACTAGCGTCAGCTTCGACGAATCTGGCCCCTCATCAGACAAAAGGGGGAAGCCTCTGACCAGACGGACCGCCGACAGAGAGTACGGTGATATGGAACCGAGGATTCGTGATCGAGACCGCAGGAGAAGAGAGCACCGGCTGAGGGACGAGGAGGAAGAGGAGGAAGAAGAGGAGAACAGACGAGCCGCCGCCGCCCAAGCAAAGGCAGCCAAGGCGAAGGCGAAGGAGCAAGACGCTCGGCCCCTCAGGAAACAACGTCCAACCTCGCTCAAGTCGTCTGCCACACAACCAGTGATTCAGCAGATGTATAAGAGAGGTCATGTTGATAATCCTGCAAACTATGGCATACAGCAACCTGCTATCACGGGCAATCGCCCAAGAGCACAGACACGGCCTGCGAGCTATTATGCTGGTCAGCCTATACGACCAGCTCCCATGAATATGGCATGGTACCCCCCTCCACCCTCAGCACAGTTTCCCGTAGGATCATTCCCTCCCCCGCCCACTTGGCAGGGACCTGGAGCTTCGCCAGGTGGCTTCGCCGGGCCGCCTCCGCCATCCCCGGTTGGACCTCCTGCTGGATATTTTGATGGAGGAGGTGTGGCTGCAAATCCTCACAGTCACCTTCGGTATCGGTTCGATACTCGCCCTTCTTCTGCCATGGGGTATCACAGGCCAGGCCCGCCGCCGCCTCCTCGTCCGCCGCCAAGCCTTGACTACTATGATCCGGAGGATTTTACAGACGAGCCACCTCCCGTGTCTCGGCCAACCCGCCGGCCGTCGAGGTCGAGACGAGCAGAAGACGACCGTAGGAGGATGCCGCCGCCCGAGCATATCCCTATTCGCCCGCAGTCTGCATTGCCACCGTCGACACCATACCGTCCACCGCCTCTGTCACAGCGTCCTCCCTCACGCCAAAGCCAGTCCAGACCTCCACCAGCTCACCGAAGATCCGTAGGATTCGCCGATCAAGCGGGCTCAGATGATGACGACTTTCTGGGCGATGATGGCCTATTCCATGATATCTCACCTAATGCCTCGTTTGATCAACGGCAGGCAGTAGCACGCCGTCCGCGGCGCGCCTCTGTTGCCTACGATAACCATGACTATGACCTCGTGCCGGCTACGAGTCGAGATCGGCGATCGTCCATGTATGGCTCCGCCCTGCCTTCTGGTGGAGTAAGTCTTGATGACAAGAAATATACTGATGCCTTGAAGTATCAGGAAGCCATCGGTGGTGCTCCGCAGATGCCGCTAACTGCTGAAATGTTGCGGAAAGCCGGGAAGCGAGGTGCAGCCGCTAGCAGCCGCTCCACTCGCAGTAGCGGTAGCCGTGACGACAGCGAGTATAAGCGTAGCAATGCAACGGGAATCACACGGACTTCCTTCAACAGTGACGACTTCACCATAAAGGTCTCTGGGGGGGCGCGTGTTCGTGTGCCAGGCGCCGAGATAGAGTGCGAGGACGGCGGTGAGATTACATTCTCGACCCGCCCAAGTGGCTCACGGCCAGCCAGCGACAAGGCCAGCTTGATGTATCCTCAGCTTGAGGATTCTCGCAGTCGCTTGGAGCACAGAAGTCTACCTTATCGGCCACGGGCTCCAAGCCAGTCCGATTCTCAAAGCAGAGGCTATGCACCAAGCCATGTTGACTACGACTTTCCTGGAGGATACATTTGATAATGAACAGCTCGACTACGATGATTTACGATTTCAATGATGACGTTGACGACCTAAACATTGCAGAGACGATTTGTTTTCAGCTCCACTCTTGTCCGTTTCGACTGATTCTGGTTATTAAGTGTTGGGTAGATTTAGGACCTGTTCCCTGCCCACTTTGGGGTTTTTTTTTTTTTTTACTCCGAGTCAAAGCGAGCGTTACTTGCGATTTTCTTCAAGATGCTCTTGGTTTCCCATGCTGCAACACACCTGGGCACTCATCACTCGTGATTTCGATAGCTGGTCTTCGAGCAATTCGTTTTTAACATAGAAACCTGGTCGCATGCGCTATATCCCTGTGCTTATGACATTTGGCTGCCATTCTCGTGGCACCGCTCATGGAGCAACGAAAGCTTGATACCCAAAATCTTGGCGATGAATGAGGATTTGCTCATTTTGACTCTTTAACTCTTTCCTTTTTTCCTTCTTCTGCACTTTCGTCGTTAAAGCAGATATTACAAATGCATGGCAACTTGTACCAACAACCACGCCCGGTTTCCATCATACTTGCAGTCATTGCTGGAGCCGGGCGAGACGAGGTTTTCAAAGGTCGAACATCAGATTGTATGAAAGCTAGAGGCTAGACTTTGGGCACCAATGGTCTTCCACGAAGTTGTCATGCTGATGGAAGCGACAACATGGTGGTCAAAATTGACGCTTGCCTAGTCATGCCTGGTTTCTTATCTTTTCTGGCTACTTGTTGCATTATCTGTCTTTCTATGAGTTGCATAATCATTTCTTTCTCGGGGTTGTACTATTGCTTGTCTAACTTGCAGCAGCGGGAATGCTGCAGTGCGATGCAAAATATGACACAAGCTCGAGAAAGCACTGTTATGTATTTCCCTAGCCACTCAATACCACCATAGCGATATAGACTGTATGGGCAATGGGGGTTCGCACCCTCTCACTCTCTAGGGCCCGTTGCGCGTTATTGTTTTTGTTACAACTGGGAAGCCATCTACGATATTTCATGTTTTTGTATTTTCATCCCTTCCCTACCACTGTGGATCTGTGAATTAGTCGCCACGTTGTGGCTTTTGGATAGATTTTTTTGTCAGAAGGGATGGAGGTTCAGATTGATATTAGTTGACGGCTAAGGAAATTGGCGAAGTGCTCTGCGAAACGCTAGCCTTGGGAGACATGGGCCTTTCTGGCGACATGGTCAAGCCCAATGCAAGCGAAGCCACAGGCAGAAGGCTGTAATGTGCTGGTCAAAGAGATCAAATCAAGGATGATGAGCTGTTGGGTAGATGGCATACCATTTGTGCGAGAACTGGTTTGTGGAGTGGTGGTTGCGAGAATGGACGACGGCTGGCTTGGTAGCAAAGTACCTTGTGCGATAAATATAAGTTGCTTGACCGTCAGGCTGTGCTAATTCCAAGGCCAAGTGCAAATTATGCGGAAGTGAATACGGGGCACAAGATATAGGCCTCTGTTTGGGGAACCCGCGAAAGTGTGACGGAGCATGATGGAGATGAGCCATGATACTGTGACACAGACATGTGAGGTGGTGGTGGCATGAACAATGCCATACTCCGTACATGGTAGTTATTGCTCCGGTCGTAAGTGGGCGGTGGGCCGTTGCCGTTCGGCGGTTGCCTGGTCAGCCCGGGTCCTGTTTACTTTTGCGTCATCGGTTTTCATTGTTGTTCCCCAGACGCCGACGGCAGCAAGCAGACGCGCCTATTGTTTGTAAGAAAAGGAAAATGAAAAGAGTAGAATCTGGGTACCTAATTGCTATGATGAATGGAATACGAAGTAGTGGTTCAACTTGTTCCGTATAATCAGAAAAAAAAAAGGTGCAAGCCCCAACCTCTTCCAGGCTCGACGCGCGGCCCTGAGACCCCAACGCCGACCCCCAGCCACCGGTTTCTGTAGGAACAGCAGCAACACACCAGGCCGTGGTCATGATTCATGAACCTGCACCATCTCACCATTCTCATCACTGCTCCTCGACTACGCACCCGAACATCAAACAGAGGTCGATTCTTTACTTGGGCATTTTATCCCGTCTACGCACACGAAAAGTCAAATCGTCTCGAGGCTGTTGGAATCTAATTTTGTGACAAGGATCAAGAATTTGCGACTCAGGCTTTGTTCGACATTCCAGACGCTCGCGTCCGGGAGGGGCGGGCTCTTTCTACGCTTATCGACTTGGAATCACTGATCCACATACGCGGAGAGACAGGCTGCATTCCTCTCAACCTTGACGGAGGTCATCATGGCTCCGGTATCGGCTGTTGTGAGGCATTCCCTCCGGAGCATCATGATCAAGGCGACGACGGGTGCCGACGCCCCCCCTGATGGTGCCTCGGGGGCTTCGGATGGCCCTCTCGGCGAGGCAGGCCGCGTGTTTGCCCGGGATGGCAAGGAGACGCCGAGTCCCTCACACGGCGTGCTGGACCCCCACGACATCAACAATGTCGGCTTCTTCGTGCTCTTCGCGCTGATTGGGGCGGCGTTTGTGGTGACGGGCATCTGGTTCTTCTTCTGGGCCAAGAACGGCGGGTTCCATTTCAAGGAGAACGACTGGGAGGAGTACAAGTCGACGGTGCTGAGGCGCAAGGGCCCCAACGGCACGGTGCTGTCGGGGGCGACCAAGACGACCAAGCTCGGGGGCGGCAGCGTGTACAAGGACGTGGCGGAGGACGACGGCACGACGGTGGTGACGGCGAGCACGGGGCTGAGCGGCGTGACGGCCGGGGCCAGCGACATCGCGGCGCGGGAGAAGCGCAAGGCCAAGCAGGAGGCGAGGGACCGCGAGCGGCGCAAGAGGCGCGGCGAGAAGAAGCGCAGCAGCGGCAGGCGGCACGTGGGCGAGGACGGGGTGACGGACGAGATGGCGGAGAAGGAGGCGCAGAAGGAGCTGCGCAACTATCGCCACGAGAAGGCGGCGCGCGTCGGCGGGCTGAACAAGGAGTCGGACGGGTCGCAGTGGGACGGGTCGACCAACCCTTCGGACTCGACGGTGTCGTCGGAGCTGCTCTCGGGCCGGCAGGAGGCGACGCCTACCAAGAAGCCGGCGCCCATCCGCAAGGTGTACTCGACGGCGGACCGGAACGCGGCGCGCGAGTCTGAGCGGATTCGCTCCGAGGCCCGGCGGCTGCGGGAGGAGAGCAGGGTCTCGCGCCGCGACTTTAGCTACAACCGGCCGGGGGCGGCGGAGAGCAGTGCCAGCGAGAGTCTGCTGGAGGGGAGCGACCTGGGCAACAAGACGTACTACCACCCCATGCCGGAGTTGAGGGCGCTGAGGGAGCAGCAGCGCGAGGAGAGGAGGGCGCGGCGCGGCGGGTATAGACGGGGGCGGACTGAGGACGACGACTTGTGAGGGAGCGTGGAGATTTTTCTTTTTTCTCAACTTTTACAACAGATTGGCATGCGTAGCTTGGCAGAGTCTATTTTTTGTTCTCACACTCTCACTTTTTTTTTGGGGGGGGGGATGGGTTTACAAGGCATCATGGTTGTTTGTGGCATCGAGTGTCGTCAGTCGGGAGGCTTGAGTTGATGAGGGCATGAACAACGCAAGGCGGTATATAGTCAATATGAAGACGGTTTGCACAATGGCCCTGAAGTGTCTCGGTGAGAGGTGAAACGCGTGGCCTGTGACTGCTTCTGGTTTCAAGCATCAATTGATTGTGCGGGTGATGGGGACACACATGCACGTGCGTGCGGAGGGGGCAGAGACGGCCAATAGGCAGGCAGCAAGTTGGCCTGCCCGGCGGATCAACAGGGACGCCGTCGGGAGTGGTCAGGGCTTAGTGGTATCCTTAAAAGCAAGTATAACCATCAATTGATCGTGTGTAGGGCAATGCCGTCAAGTGCACAGGCCACGGGGAGGCAGGAATGCAAAGCGCCAGATGCAATTGCTGCGCCCATGTAGACTCTCTTTGTTGGCTCTTTCAGGCATTTGTTTATTATTGGCACCAGACCTCTGGCGTTTGCTGTCGCCCCATGCTGCTCCCAGACCGGCGGCTGAAGCAGCGCTTCGGGACCCGCCCAACTTGGACTTGGCTTGGCGATCAATATTCCCTCTTCTCGCATTCTCTCCCACGCACACACTCGCCCTCTCTGGTGGCGAAGATCGAATCCGGCCAATCCGACGGCCCGGCACCAGTCCGTCACCACGCCAGTCTTCCGTCACCACGATCCACATCCACCTCGCTCAGCTCGCCCAGTCCCCAATCTCCAATCCGCAAGCATTCAACTTCCATCCGTATCCTAATCCGCTGGCGGTCGCTTCATCCTTTGTCCTTCGTCTCTTACCTCTCTCATTCTTCTTGACCGCCTCAGCCATCGAGTTCCGATACTTGACGTCTTGTCGCCTGTCCCTCCTCCGTCCGCAAGCCGGCGAATACAGCCAGTCAGTCACAGCCATCGTCCGTCATTTGCCCGCCTCTCCTTCGACCTTGCGAGCTTCTTTTTCTTCCCTCGCCGATACCGCAACCTACCTGTGCATCCTGCGTCCCATACGCACCAACAGAGCGCTTCGTGTTTCTCCTCTCCCCGCGGCGGCCACCGCCACTGTCGTCTTGTCGCCGCCGACTTTAATCTCCCACGCGACTTTCTTCTTGACCGCCTCAGCCATCGAGTTCCGATACTTGACGTCTTGTCGCCTGTCCCTCTCCCGCCCGCAAGCCGGCGAATACAGCCAGTCAGTCACAGCCATCGTCCGTCATTTGCCCGCCTCTCCTTCGACCTTGCGAGCTTCTTTTTCTTCCCTCGCCGATACCGCAACCTACCTGTGCATCCTGCGTCCCATACGCACCAACAGAGCGCTTCGTGTTTCTCCTCTCCCCGCGGCGGCCACCGCCACTGTCGTCTTGTCGCCGCCGACTTGAATCTCGCAGGCGACTGGCCTGGTGGTCGCATCATCAATAGTTCAATGCCACACAGCAACACCACACCTCACTGCAACTACAACTACACCATGGCCATCAGCAATCCGCCCACCTCTGCCTTCACCGGCGTCATCATCGGCCTCGCCTCCTCTTTCGGCTCCATCGTTCTCATCGCCCTCGTGGTCTTTGTGTTCTGGGCTTCTGGCTGTGCGGGCTCGGGACGCATTATCCTCGATCGCCTCGGCCGGCCCGGCGAGTATGATGACGAGCAGGCCTTTTTGCGGGAGGAGGCCGAGGCCCTGGAGACCATGGACGACATGGCCCGCACCGAATATCTCAGAGCAAAGGGTAAGAACGTCACATTTGCCACCTCGGGCCGCGCATCATGGTAGGGTCGGTCCCGTGGCTAACCTGCTCATCATCTCTTTAGCATTCGTCACTGCCAATCCGCCCGAGTCGCTGCATACCGACATTTCGCTTTCGCAATATCTAGCTATTCAGGAAAAGGGGGTTTCGGCCTGGGAGTTTGAGCCAGAGCTCGAGGTTGCCAACTGTTTTGTCGAGGCCCGTACGGAAATCGAGTTCTTCGACTCCGAGTGCACCGTCATGTGCAACCTGCCTGTTCCCAAGCAGAACGACGTCTACTACTGGGAAGCCAAGATTTACGAAAAGCCCGAGAATACCCTGCTGAGCATTGGAATGGCCACAAAACCCTATCCGCTGTTCCGACTGCCCGGTATGTCGCTGACCGAGCACGGTGTGAGATTGTAGCCGTTTGTGTTGCTAACCGTCCTTTGCAGGTTATCACAAGTATTCCGTGGCATACCATTCGGACGGCTCCCGCCATTACAACCAGCCCTTTAGCTCTACGCCATACGCTCCGAAACTGGTCCAAGGCGATGTTGTTGGTGTGGGATACAGACCTAGAACCGGAGCCATATTTTTCACACGAAACGGCAAACGATACGAAGAGGTTGTCCACGGACTCAAGTCGCAAAACTTCTTTCCGGCTATCGGTGCCAACGGTCCCGCCATTGTACATGTCAATTTGGGCCAGTCTGGGTTTGTCTTCATCGAGGCCAATGTCAAGAAATGGGGTCTGGCTCCCGTGACGGGTAGTTTGGCGCCGCCGCCGCCGTACGGGTCTGAGCAGGGAAGCATTCTGTTGGAGACGGGCACCAAGGATGGCGCCGTGTCTGGTCAGGGATTGCCACATCGCCAATCCGTCACGGGTTCGCCGTATACAGTTGCCGGTGGAAGAAGAAACTTGAATCCCAGCCACGGCCGTACACGAAGCGGCAACTTTCGAGTCCTTCCACCAACAAGCCCAGGCCCTGTGCGAAGTCCGACCGACATCTCGCTTGCGCAGCTCGTTCCCAACGATGAAGGCGGTGAAGCTAGTGGCAGCACCGGCCATCAGGAGGCATATCACGACAACAACCCGCTGCATCTGCACCTTGAAGACGCCACTAATCCTCCTCCAGACTATTCCAGCCCAACACACTCGGATGCTGGACAGGATCGACGACGGTATAGCACCGACAGTGAGGAGAACACGCCCTTGATACGAGTAATAAACCGAAGCCGCGGAGACTCGTCTGCTACCGCGACAGCAAGACCACAACATACACCCAGCGGACCAGTCCCAAGCTACAGTGACGCCGTCCGGGATGGTGCCGGAATCCAGCGCAGTGACAGCTCGGAATCCGACTCATCAAATGAATCGTCATCGTCATCGTCATAAACCCCAAGGTTTTTTTTCCTAGAGCAAGCGCAGCATTAAAGCAAGCAAGGAGCGGACAACATGTACGCGAGCCTTGACTGACAGGTCGACCAGATTAGCAAAAGGGGATTAAAAGAGTAGGAGTTGCGGCGGCGAGCAGGCTACAAGGGAAAAGGCATTCTATTTCGTATTGCTCTACAGCAGAAGTTGGTGCTGCTACCTCTGGCGCCTCGGCGTTTTTTTTTTTTTTTTTTTTTTTTTTATAAGCATTGGGATCAGCACGTTGGCAAATTTCTTCCTGTTTTCCGTTTTGACACAGCTTTTTCAAGGCGGCTGGCATCTTACCAGCACGCACTGCGCTGACGCACGGTCTTTTTCTTGATTTGGTCTCTTTTTTTTTTATCCCTTGCTCGTTTCTATTTGACTTGGCACTGGCATTCCTACATCAATTAGGAAACGCCCTTTGGTCTGTCGGCGGGTTTTGATACACTTTTTTGCCTGGACGCTCGCTATGGGAGTCTTTGGGGGTTGTTGAACCTGTGGTTGTTGACATGAGTATCATGACTGCTGTTTTGTGTTGTGTCTGGCTGGTGTTCTGCCGTGCCGTTTGAACTTGGGTCGCCCAGGTAGTTTGGTGTATGCTTAGTCTTGTGGAAACATGTCTTGCTGCAGGCTATCAGGAATGAAATACCAGATTACACATTTTACTTGTTTCCCCCCTTCGATCATGTCTTGTCTGTGTGGTGGCGACGATGTAGGGTAGGTAGGAGGAGGGGCTGTGGAAAGCCTGTTGATGGTGGTACTTTGACATTGTAGTGTATGTGTCGTCTGTGGCCGTGACACGCCGCGAGTGTTTCTGACATGGCGGCTGGTGTCGACGTGGTCTCGACGTGGTCTCGACGTGGATGCGCTGATCCCATCGTTTGCTTCGTGTCTTGCTCTTGCTCTCGGGTGCATCCTGTGCTGTTCATGTCTGCTATATTGTCAGTTTGGGGCCCTCAAACGGGCCCGGCGCCAAATGTTGGCCATGTCGTTTTTGCCCTCGCTCAACAGTGAGGCCTGGGCCGTCGTCAACGGTGGCGTGGCAAGATTCCAGGGAGCGGCCGCAGATGGCTGGCTTCCGGGTATTAAAGACATTGACCTGAGGACCAGTCCAGTTCAATGCGAGCCGTAGCTGCTGCCGGTGTTGGATACTGTGTCTTGTACTAACCATGTGGTTTGTCCATGAGGACATGCGTAAAGAGCCAAGATGTGCACACTTGTAAGCTGGGTATCGGGACATTCGGCCACGGGCCACTGTTGCTGCATCTTTTTGCTCCGTGACAGTGGTCCAGACCCGTGACGATTGGGGCACGTTTATATCCACGGTGGTCGTGTGCATGGGGCGAGCTCGAAACAAGAGCTCCCGTTGTAGCCGTGCGGATCTCGACGAGATGAGGATGTGACTTGCCATGTTATTCTCCTACCGGTGGCTCTGCGGATTAGGACATACTGGTAAATAGCCTGGCATTTTTGGACGGGCGAGGCACCATAATCTCACCGGGGGTTTCGATCAGGGTCCCATCAATGGCTGGGCTCACCACGCTTTGGAAAGATGGTTGTTTAGAAGGCGCAGTGTGTATTAGAGCCAACTTGACTCATGTGATGATTCCGGCACCGGACTGGACAATCATGTCCCTACGGGGATATTCTCGGATGCTGCCCTTGGGAATCGGTGGCAGGAATAGGACAACTGGCCTGAGCGAGATGTGCGTTCGCCCCTGGCGCGAGGCAGTCGACTCAGCTTTGATAATGTACCGCGTGGCCGATTCATCTAGTTCTCTCTGCCCGGGAAGGTCGTCAATATCAAAAGTGGTGTTTTGGCTTGCACGTGTGTGAGGCCTCGAGAAAAAAAAAAATTATATACATAGACGCTTGAAACTTGCCAGTCAAAATAAAGGGATTAAAAAAAGACAAAGTCTGGTAGAAAAAATCCCTCGCTGCCCGAGGATTCAAATTTCTCTCGTCTCCCCCAGCGTCGGCGGTGGTGAATCTTTTGATATTCCACGCCTCCTCACTACCGAGCACGAAGCGACCACCGCCGCCCGGTCAAGAAGCCTACAGGATAAATCCCCCATCTACGGCCATTATTCAAGAGAATGTAACAAGGTACCAATCGGTGTAATTGGAGCGGCGTTCTTTTGGTAAACGGCCATCTTACAGCTGGAGGCATCGAGTATTCCCCCCCTTTATATGCCGGTAGTCTCGAGTGACTTGCGAGTAAGTAGACACGTATGATCTTAGACTGTGTGTATTAGAGTATTTCAACTAGGCTCTCCTCCATGGCCACTGAGTCCAGGAGAATACAGGGCTACTACCCCTTCAGCCGCGAGCGAGGACTATACGAAGCTAGCAACGGGATTTCTGTCCTTTGACCGCGGCGCTTTCAACGACAACCCCCCCGGCTACTCCTAACCGTACATTATGCTGGACAAGGTGTGTTTTATTGCTTTCAAGTCATACTGTCTTTTTAACAAGGATCCGGACAAGGGCCCGATGGTGTATTTGCCGGAGCACTTCTTCCGGCTGCGGGAGCCGTCCAAAAGCCGAAATGCCGGCTATACGTTTTTCAATGCGCCCAGGAAGCACGTCATTGCCAAGGGCGAAAAAAAAAAGGGCACCTTATGAGCTGGGTATTGGGAATATCCGTTCTAGGGTGCCGGCATTGCTGCATCTCTTGCTGCTCCGTGGACTGGCGTGACATTCATGTTGGAGCACCAGACATCACCTTGTCCCCTGATGCGAAAGGCACACCGGAGGACTTGCCGGCGTCTTTACGCCATGCGCTTGTTGAATCATGGTGGTTATATACGTCAACGTGTTGGTGTTGGTGAAGACCAAGGCCAACATACAAACGAGGCATCGCTCCAAGCCGCGGTCATGACGGCGGCCCAGAGACCATGCCGCTTGCTGCTGATATTACAAGCAAAAGACACAGCTCCGAATACATGATACGACTCGGCTGTCAAAAATTGTAGCCGTCTCAAAGCGCCGGTCCACCATGTTGGAAATAAAGGGGAGCCAACTGCAAAAACAAGGCCCTCGTCAACGGCATCCATCTCAAGCTTTGTCCGCTCCGGCAAACTCGGAGTCAACCCGCACAAAGAATTCAAACCAAAAGGGGAAAATACATACGCATCTCGGCAACGTATTGCCCAGCGGCTTGTGAACAATAGAGATTGCCTATGTGTCGATGCCAGCCCACCCATCCATCCATCCCCTTGCAGGAAAAACGTGCCCATCTCTCTCATGCCAAACACCTCGAACCGCAGCATCTTTTGATTCCACAGTCAGGGGGAGGGTAAAAGCACACAGATGGCACACATCTGCCGTCCCCCGATTCGACCAGACCCCAACGCCCCTTTCTGGATTTCGCACGTCAGCCCTTTTATCAGTCCGCAGATACAGCCAAGGTCCAGTTTTGCCCAGCTCGTAGCCCACACCAGCGAGGCTCCTGGATCAATAGCGCGGCAGACCTCGTGTTCCTCACGCCCCCCGCCCCTTTCGTCGCCGTCTCCTGCCCGCGAGCCGTAGCCCTTCGCCAGCTACTGCCGAGTTCTTTGCCAAAAATGAATTTCATCCCAGTACGGAAAAGAGCCGCTGCCCCATTGGACGTGGTGTTTTGATCTTCTTCCCCGTCAGCCTAGGAGAAAGGCCAGTCACGAGGGTTCCGTGGCCCAACAGGCTTCCTCACATTCGCCATGGGAAACTCTGATTCCGCATTCCCGTCCGGGGACACGGGTCGGTTTCCCCCTTGTACAAGAGCACCAAGGCGGCAACTTGTGTGCCTGCTGCAAACGCCCACGGCCGCGGGCACAATCTCGGCGGAGACAACAAAGACGCGCCCTCTTGGCGAGGACGGCATCATCTGGTTTCTTTTCCTCCAACCAGCAAGTCGACTCGGCCTAAACAGCCGCTGTTCCGTACCGAGAGCTGCAGAAGAAAAAAAGAGGAATAAATAAACCGCAACCGTGCATTGCTCAAACGGTCTCGCAGCGAGACCTATTCAGCCTCTGTCGAAACAAGCAAACGGCAACCCACCCGATCCAGTGCATCTTCCACCGTCGTCCGCCAGCCCTACCGAGAAGACGACGAACCAGGTTCCGTCCGGCCCTCTCGGCATCGAACCAAAACAAGACGGGCTCGTCCAATGCTCCCAATCCCAATCTGCCGTACGGACAGCCCCCATCCCCGGGGCCTTCTTCCTTTGGGGAAAAAGGAAAAAAGCCTCGTATTCGCCCATTCTCAAGCGTTCAGGGCACCATACAGGGGGGGGATAAAATTAGCTCCCACTGACCCCCGTTGCCCAAACGGCCTCACACAACACCCAACGTTACCTACCTGAAGGCCCGTCGTCAAACGGCCCGTTTCCGAGCTACCGTTCATGTTGCCATGTCGGCGTCAAAAGGGGGGGGGTGGGTGTATAACCATACACCGCGAGCAAAAAAAAAAAAAGAAAGAAAAAAAAACAACCCACTCTAACCGATAACCGAGCCCACCACACTCAGCCCTACAAAAAAAAAGAGCACGCTCCACCATGATAACATGATCAAATCAACACCCAATCTATCCCAGACCGAAAAAGGAGAAGACGGAACCTTCCATTTCGCACTGGGGCCTTTTCTGGGGGTGGTGCCGCGCATTAAGCGCCTTGACCTGGCCACCAATCAGAACCCAACTCAGGACGGGCGTCGGGGTAAATGGCCCCGAAAATCGCGAGGCACAGCCGTGACCAAGATAAAGCCGTCAACGGTCAACCGGGGGGCAACGACGCACATCAGGCGACATCAGGCGAGAGCGGTGGACGAGACGTGGCCAGCGAGTACCGAAGCCAATGCGCCCGTTGTCCTAACCAGATACAGTTCCATGTCTCAACGCTTGGTTGCGTAGCCAACGTGGTTTTTGCCCTCCCTACGTCGACCTTGTTTCAAAGTCTAATCTTCTTCCACTGTCACTAGAGCCAATGTAACCAGAGACAAGCCAACTTGCGGCGCACTAGTATTATTCTCCGAGGCAGACGTGCCTTCAACTATCTCATCATTCACCCGACGCGTCACACCAGAAAATCGTGTCCCCGTCCAAATCTCAATTTTCCTTGCCTCGCAAATCCCAAAAAATGCACTCTGTTGCAAACTCCAATTCCATATGCTACCTCGTGTTCCAATTTCAAATAAAAAAAAAGAAGGATAAAACAACAAAAATACAATCACTTGTCAAAAAATTTCAAGTACAAAACTCCACAAAACTCCATGCTTTGTCCCCCCAAAAAAAAGTCCCGTGTCTGAATATGCAGACACACCTTGCCAAATGCTTCGCTAATGCAGTGGGCTGTAACCCTTCGCCATGTCTTTCTCGCTAAATCTTTGTATAATCCGTAAGGAGTGAATATCTATACATGAGTTTTTGGTCGTCATGATTTTTGGTCGTCGTAAGGAGTGTCTATATATTAATGTTGGGTATCTTGTATCATGCAAAGGAGTGTTGATTATGGGTATCATCGTCGTAAGGAGCGTTGAGTATCAAATAATACATTAAGTGTCCATGGTTGCCGGCGGTATTATCGTCGTAAGGATTGTCGTCGAGATCAACTCGGTAGTAAGGAGTGTGGCCGACCGTGTGGACGGGCAAGACATTCTGATAAGAGGTTTTGTCTCCACATCAGCCGTTGTGGTTGTTTAGCGAGTGTCCAAGGAATGTAGTGTACATGGCGCGTCTGCGTCAAGGGGCGGAAAAAAAATTCAATAAAAACAGGTAGCGTTCATTAAACTCAAACCAGTCGTAACAAGAAGTAGAGAAAATTCTTCAGATCCGAAGCAAAAAGGGAATTGTTGTCCGTGGGCTATTGTCTCGATGTCGTCGCGGCGTTTTTTTTTTTTTTTAAAAAAAAAAAAAAAAACAGCTGCAAGTTTGTTCACTGGACTGGCCCCTGTCCGTGGTAAGCAGGTCCTTTGCCCTTGACTTGTGTATTGTTTGGCATATCGGGAGGAGGGACGAGAGGCGCCTGTGCGAGTGGGGACGGAGGATGCGGGCCCGAGGATATCGATGCAGTATGGCGGTGTCGGAGGTGCGGCGTGCTGTGCGAAAGGACTGGTGACTCTGGCATGGGGAGCATCCCGAAGTGCTCGGCGTTGAGAAACGGAGACGGGGCTGCCGAGAGGCCAGCTGCGAAAACGGCAGGGTCTTCCGGTGGCGGGTACGTCGGTGTGGTGGTGACTGAGTGCCTGAGTGGTAAGAAAAACAAAACAAGTCAATCCGATTGTGTCCCCTTCGAGAAAGCGGCAGAGAAGGAGGCCGATGTGTAGGATTAAACCATGCAAAGGAGCCTAGATCCACACAGGCTGGTGGGGAGTGACGAACCCTAGGCCGTAGCTGCTATGAGCTTCGTTATACATGGACGGCTGACCAGAAGTGAGATAGGCAGGGGCGCTTCCTCGCATGTCGTAGGGTCCATACTCCTCGGTGTCACTATAAGTGGCCGAGCCCTCAAACGTGGACGAGGCAGGGCTGTACGCTCCGGCGGCGTACGATGGAGACGGGACGTTGAGATACTGCTGACTTGAGAAGGGAGACGAGAGCACGAGCGGGCTGGCGGAGTGACCCTGGTTTCCTGGGATGGCGGCGCTATTGAGCATGGGCATCTCCTCGGCGCTATAGCTGAAGGCGACATTGCTGTACATGTAGTGAGGCGAGGGAGCGGCGCCGGGAGGCACCGAGTACTCCTCGGGCACCGGGAAGTTGGGAGGGTGGAACTGAGGGAATGACGGGGTCCTCTCAGGGTGAACCCAGCCCATGCGGGAGCGGAATTCACCAACAGTGTTGATGGGGAACTCCATCAATGTGAGAGGAGTCTCACGCTGAGCACCGCCCTCGGAACCGCCAGCGACACTGATGGACATCAGGCGACGGGCGATTTCCTCAATGGGAGAAATGCACAAGCTGCCAAAGTACGCAGCGCCAATCTCGGGGAAGAGACGCTCCATGAGAAGTGCAACGGTGTACAGGTGCGCAATGACGACGAGCGAGTTGGCCGACCCCTGGTAGTTCTGAAGGTATCCAACGGGCATCCAGAACAGCCAGGTTCTCAGGGGTTGCAGGCGCTCATACTGCTGGGCAATGGAGAGCGTCGGGCTGATTTTGCGAGAACCCTTGAGGAATCCAATAAGATGCTGAACCTGGGTGGTCTCTTCCTTGTGGTGCTTGAGATGCAACTCAACCTTTTGGACTTGCTCGAGAGTGCGCTGGAAGGCTTGGATATCCTCATCCCGGGGCTGCGTCGGCCTGTGGTCGGGTCCGGGAGACGGAGGGGCAGTGGGAAATGTGCTGCTTTCAGCAATGAAGTCACCGAACTGGGACTCGTGCTTCCACGCGTCCATCGCATCAATCACCTGTGTGGGACGAGTCGTGTTAGCCAAGATCCAATAAGAATGGAGAAGAGGTCGAGCTCGCTAGCTGAAGATGCCACAAGCATGGTACAGGAATTTGAGCGCTGCCAAGATCAACAACATGTCTTGCATTTTGGCGTACGTACCGTCGAGGTTCCCTGCATGAGCTGGGTCCAACTGCGCCTATCAGATGTTGTTAGCCGCTTCTACTCTTGCACGCCCAAGTCGGGACCGTGCAGGAAACTATTTGCTTACCAATCCGTAGCTTGCCAGGACAAGACAAGAGAAGCTGCCAAGATGGCATCCGACGTCTCTCGGGAGAAGGTGCCAATAGCCTCGTGAAGGCCGCTGAGAGCGATGCCACGGTGCTCGAAAGCCATGCTGCCGACAAGAGGGCAGTCGGTGAGGAAGGCGATGTGCATGGCCGAAAAGGCGAGCAGAGCGTGCATCACATACGGTGTGGTGACACCAATTTTCAGGAGACTGGCCAGCCAAGTCAGTTTGCTGGTTTTGGGTTCCCCAACGCCCACAGGCTGTAGGTGAGTTCCAAGTCGGTTTTGCACTTACGTTGGGATGTGACGGGTCCAGAGAGTGAAGTTATTGGCGTCAATGGCAGAGAGCTGATGGTACAAGTTGGCAACGTGGTAGATCAGGCGCAAATCCTCCAGCGAGTACAGGTGCGGCAAGGGCGCCGGGTAGACATGCAGGGACGGGAAAGGGAAAACACCGGTTGCCTGCCACTCAGCGATGGCTGCCTCTACCTGGGGAGTCCACATGAGATCAGGCTTATCGGGGGTGGTAGAGCGGTCTGCATCGGGCACCTGTACGTCGTTGTACGGACAGCGGATCTTGTGTTTGGTGCAGTTGCGGCTGAAATCAAGGCATTGTCAGTACGCCGAAATTACAAGTGTGCCTCTGAGAAAGAGAGTGGGGGGATCCTTTGCGTCCCAGGCTTGGCTGCATATTGTGTGTGCCCATATGGCGTCACAGAGCCAGAGACGGCGAATGGAACATGGACTTACCATTGAGGGAAGTTCTCATCACAACGGATGTGCCGACGCTTGCAGGTCTCACAACCCTTGCGGGACTTGGTGTGACTGATTGTTTAACTCAGTTAGCTCCAACGGTCTCTTGGTTGTTTGAGATGGAACAGACTTTACTAACCTGCGACGAGGAGGACCACCGCCAGGGCCAGCCATTTTGAATGCTTGGATCTGAAGAAAGAAAAGAAGAAAAGAAGAGAAGAAGCGAAGAAAAAAGTCGTAAAACGTTAACCACGCAACGCGAAAGCAGCCGTGTGATTAGTCGTAGCGAACGTGAAATGGTTTTGCTGGAGCGGATAGACTGAGAGGCAGGGAAAACCCAAAGTAGTTGATCCGCCTGAATCTTGGTTCCCTTGTATTCCAACGGAGTAGCGATCGTAATGCGGTGTCTAGAGCTATTTGACCCCTACTAGATTTCGTATCTTCCAGATGGACTGGAAAATAAACGACTGCGGGTTCTGTTTGAAAGCGAGTGTGGGTTTTGAAAAAGAAAAAGAAAACGGATCACCACGTCTACAACAACATGGATGCCTGCGTTGTGGTCTTGGTGGACTTGGCTTATAGTTGAGACGTGAAAGTTTCCGCGAGGGATGCCGCTAAAGTGGTAGAACGGTTGACGAGGTAGGAGACGAGCGAAATGTATCGGTATAACCCAATGCGTCTTCACTACCGGACGAAACCACTTCTGTATCAACTCTTTCCCCGGTTTCTTTTCTTCTTCTTTTCCTTCGATACGCTTTACGAACGCACACAGGACGTGGACAGCTTCTCCAACCGTAATCAGATGTGGCGGTAGAGGAGAGACGTTGGTCGTGGGAGGGTGGGAGAGGCGCAGAGCGCGGCTAGTAGGAGGATGACTTGAGAGTGGTAGCAAAAAGCACAACAACACCGATAAAGCGAATGACAGGAGCCAACGAGGACTTCCTAAGAGCGAGAGTGGGAAGAGTTTGAGAGAGATGGGTGAGCGTGTGTATTGCACACAAATCGAGTCGAGATATGATTGAGACGAGATGTCGAACCGGGGGGAGGGGAAGTTCGGGATGGGAGGGGATGGTGAAAGTTAAATACAGCAAAAGGCATGGGTGGGCTGAGGCGCAAGGTCAACCAGTTGACGGCTCAGTGTTTGAGGTGCTGCAGGGCATGGCTAATGCTGGCTAATGCTGGCTAATGCTTGCGGCCTGGCTGGGCTGGGGCTGGCTGGGCTTATGCATTGGTACCAAGTACATGTCAACTTATGTCCACCTAAGCAAGCATGCACCACTTGCGAGGGCCGACCATCCTCTCCTCGCTACTCAGTTGACACTTCTGCACACACATACACATCTACATACTAGGTACGTTGATGCTGTATGTATATTGTACCTGGCATCATTCGATTGTACCGGCCACACATTGTACCGACCACCCACGAATCCACGACAAAACACACAAAACACAACCACACAACGCACAAAAGGGCGTCGCCACATGGGGGTGGGCAAAGCCAAACGGTCAAAGACAACACGGGTAGGGCAGGATGGGGCCGAGCGGATTGCGGTTGCCCTCGTTGTTCTATCTTGAACGTGGCCCCCGTCTATCCTTCGGCATCAGCATTAGCATCATCATCACAACTCCATGTCCGCCAGCCAAATGCCAAACTCCATGTTGGCCCCTCTCCGCCTCCATGCACCACCGTGTCAGGTCCGGCCGGCCTGACGGAGCAAAAATGGCCAGCCGAGCATCATGCAGACGACCGACGCCCGCGCGGCGCAGCAGACAAGGTCAAGGGTCAGCTCAGACCGACCAATCCAACTACGTAGTGAACTCGCCAACTCGCCTGACCACCCAAACCCCCCGAAGTGGAAGCACAAGTGGAAGACGGCCCTTGGTCCTCGCTGCGGGTCACCAAATCCGCGGCGACTGGGGCTGGGGGCGACTCAGAACATCTGTACTATTTTATGTCTCTACTGTACGGAGTAGTTGGCACAGCAGAGCACTACTAACCACCTGCTGATGGCCAGAGAGCGGCACCAAGAACATCTCCTGGCATCCAGTGCAAGTGCTGGACTCGGGACGTGAGGCATGGGGCCTCACACCCCCGGCCCCTTCGCTAGTGAGGCAAGCGGGCAGGGCTGACTTTCTCAAGTTAGCACCTGATTTATTGTGTTTGGTTACTCCGGCACCTACCCAGGCCAGTTATAACCGCTGGAGCCGCGGCTGAGATGCCTTACCAGACGTCTACGTGCTCGCCTTCACCCAGTGTTGCGACTCGATTCATATGGCGAAACGCACACATGGTTGGATTGGGCAAACGGTGGATATGTGGCCGAAATGTCTTCATTTTGGGAGGAGTGTGGTTGACGGCTACATGCCCATTCTAATGAGACGAAGCCCCCAAAGCGCGTCTACTGTCTTTTCTCCTATCGCCGAAGCCAAGTTCAACCACGTATTACACATCAACTAGCCGTACGATTTGAGCATATCAAAGCCACCGGCTATCCAATTACCTGTGCTCTTCCTCCCAACTGCCTACATGTTTGACAAGCAGTTGATAGCATTTTAGCACCTAGCTTCTTGTGGACGTGCTAGGTCGCAGTCTGTGTCTGGTTGTTTGCTCTTAGTCCACGTCCAACCGGTCTCTGTTGTGATAGCGCTTGCCAATGGCCCCGAGTTATCAGGACTGTCCACGAACATCGAAGTAGTGCCTCGTAGTGAGTAGTTGGTTGTATTAGAAACATACATAGTCGCTGCCGAGTACCCCCGTTCATGTGGAGTGAGCACGCCTAAGCACTTCTGGGCTGGCAAACTTCATCAAGTACTCCGTACCGAGTACAGTACAAGCAGTCTGCCATAATACACCGAGTATCACGTACCCACCCCCCCAAGACCTTTGGGGGTGTGCTGGCACGCTACAGGTACCGCCCCAACAGCAGCACTCCCCACACTCCAAGGTCCTGCCTCTGCCTCAGCCTCCTCTTTGCGGGCGACAATACTCCGTAGACTACAAGCCATAGAGAGGTTGGCTGGCTGGGCTTTTGCCTCTGGCCCTGGCGCCCATCCAGTCCGTCACCGTACATCAAACCATGGAGACTTGTAACTCCGGGTGTCCCGTCAGCAGCTTGTTCTCCCTTGCCCACCCCCTTGTCTTGGCCAGCGCCATCCCTCTCTCGGAGACATGGTGCGCAAATGGAACCATGACGCACATCGCTTCGGCGGCAGGGTGCATGCAAGAGAAGAGCAGGGGTCCTCCAGCCATTCGGAAGCCGTGGTAAAAATAACAACTGGAGAGAGCCAGCAGGTTGGTTTTTGTTGCGGGCCCTGGGTCGAAAGGCGACGTCAAGAAGCCCGACCCGCAAACCTCAAGTTCACTGTTCACTGTTGCCCACTGCGCTCGTTACATCACATGTCCCAGATCATGGCCAGTCCATGGCCACACCAAGCAGAGCAATGTTCCGACAAGGTCTCCAATGACGAATGCCGCGAGCCTCTCTGTGTCCACAGCGTCGTGCCAATCCCGTAGCAATGGATCGCGCTAGGACAAATGTTAATCAGAAACAGGGAAGTGAGATGGACAAATGATATATCAAAGGACAGTTGGAATACTCTCATCTTATCTTTCTCCAACAAAGAAAAGGCATCCCGGCAACAAGGACCCTTTTTTTTCTTCCTCTCCTGGGAGGGGAGAACTGGCCCGATGACTCAGCTCAAATCTGGACATGTATGTTTCCGGCAAAAGTTTGTTACCGACGGCCGAGAGAGGAGTTGTTCCCGTCTTGAAATCCAACCCTCGGTCCTGTCAACTCCTGTAAGTCTTCCTTCTTCCTCTGCCGCCGCCAAAACCTACCGGCCCCCGTCCCCTTGCTTGAGGCCTACAATGTTACCCTATTCTGGATCCAGATCCAGTCATGCAGCATCAGTTCATGAGTTACGCCCTTGACAGATCTCCCATGCTTCGCCCCACGGCGCTCCCAGATGCACAAAGCAGTGCATTGGTTGACAAACTGCAAAGTACCTAGGTATCTCACAAGACATCAACCGTAAATGTATGTGTCACGTACGCTGTTGCAGGAGTCTGCCTCCGGGCTTGTGCCGTCGGTCCTCGTGATAACCCCCGGGGGAATGCCAGGCCGTCGGCGTATGATGGCGCTGAGCCTCAAGCTAAACGCCATGAATTAGCCAATGCGATATCCCTAGCACCGAGTTGAGCTCAACAGCATCGCATTCACCCAGTGGCTTGTGCATTATTCCCATCGTAAGGTCCCTGCCCAGTCGAATAAGTAACCAAGTCAGACTTGACTCGGCAAACAAACTGTCCAATGTGAAATGCGCCCGGGCGAAAGCACTGGCATAATGCAATATACCATTGTTAATGCTGTTGATGAGGGAAGCACATTGATCTGCTTGCTTTTGAGAGCCTCGCCCGTTTGTAGGTTTACAAAACCTTGCGATATTATTGCTTCACATGCCGGTGTGCTTCTCGGTGTTACTCTTGCCGCCTGTTTTCGCACCCAAAAATATCATGCTTTTCAGGCTGCTCCCGACTCGCACGAGTACTGCTGCGTGTCATCGAGGCATTATGTGAAGACGCCGCCCCTGTCACACCGAAGGAACACGTCTTGATAATACAGACAGCCTAGCTAAACAGGGCGTCTCTCTGTGATCCCCAAATGGTCTCGGCTGATGACCTGCAATGTTGAATGGGAATATTGCAGAGGCCAGCGTCTGTCTCGTGCTGCGCCAGAAGATTGGGCCTCCCATTTCTATCGACCAAGCCTTTGACAGCAGTTCAGTCGGTGGCAAATCCTTTCCTATAATAAACGGCAACTTGTCTCTAGTGGTCACCATGCAAGTCGCTACGTTCAACTCAAATTTCATTTCCCCACACAGAATGAGCGCTCCATCTGCAGAGCCAAGGCCGCACGGCCAAAGGTTCACAGCGACAGTGACAGCAAGCTGTGCTCCATACACGTGTGGCAATCCAATTCTTTCTTGCCTCACCATAATAAATGGCAAGACGATACGGAGTACCATCTGGTGACTTCTCATTTACGCTCTTCGTTGAATCTGGAAGGCCCAGGTCTCCCTCTTGTGGTTATACTAACTCCTTTCAGAATTTATCCAGAAGCCGTAGCTGGACCCTGGCAGCTCATTGCAGCTGTGGCTGCGGTAGCTCTCGG